ACCTCTCAGCTTTCTCTTGCGAAGGCTGAAGAGATCTAAGTCCCTCAGTCTCTCCTCATAGGGCCTTGCCTGCAGGCCTCTGAACACTCTCAAGATTCTCCACATCCCTCTTGAAGTGCGGTGCCCAAAACTGGACACGGTACTCCAACTGCAGCCTGACCAGTGCCGCATAGAGGGGAAGCATCACCTCCCTGGACCTGTTCATCATGCATCTGCTAATGCATGATGAAGTGTGGTTAGCCTTGTTGATCACTTCATCACATTGATGACTCACGTTTATCTTGGAGTCAACTATGACTCCAAGATCCCTTTCTACTGCTGTGCTGCTGAGAAGGTCATCCCCCAGCCTGTAAGTGTGTTAGTGGTTCTTTTTGCCCAGGTGAAGCACTTTGTACTTGTCTTTGTTGAACTGCATCCTATTTTGTTCTGCCCATTTTTCCAACCTGTCCAGATCCACCTGGATCCATTCCCTACCCTCTGCTGTGTAAACTTTGCCCCATAATTTGGTATTATCTGCAAACTTGGATAGGGTGCTCTCTACGCCCTCATCCAAGTCATTGATGAAGACATTGAATAGCACCGGTCCAAGCACTGAGCCTTGCAGGACTCCACTGCCCACAACTTTCCAGGTTGATATCGACCCATTCATCACCACTCTCTGGGTCTCTCTGGGTGAGACCCCCTAGGTCAATTTGCTACCCACCTGACTGTGTAATCATCTGCATCACAGCCTGTCAGTTTATTTACAAGAAGTTGTTTGATTGCCCTATTGATGGCACTTCTCTTGGTAAATGTTTATGTTTGACCAGTTTCCCCTGTTAGGCTAGCTTTCATGGATTAAAGTTAATGGTGTTCAAATTTTGTCAAGTCTGTCATGCTGGTAGCTAATTACCTACATCAGCACATGAAACACTTGAACAGCCAGTGCCCAACCCATCTGTGCATGGAAATAAGGGAAGAATGTTTATGAAACATGCTCTCTATGTGGGGCTGCCCTTGAGGACTGTCCAGAAGCTGCAGCTGGTGCAGAATATATCAGATTGTCCTCTGACAGAGATGGGGCACCAGGAGCACATAACTCCAGTGGTCCAGGGTCTGCACTCACAGAAGTTGTTTTCATTAGTCCTGTTGAGGCCCACCTGAGCCCGAGCCTGTGTGTCCTCTGGAAGTGCTGTAAGACCTTGTTTGGGAAGATGTTTAGAAAGCCAAGCTAAGTTGGAAGAACATTTAATGAGTTTTTGTTTTATATCTTAATAGTCTACCTACTTTTATAAGTGATTTTTCCTCTTATTTTAAGCTTCCCTGAGCCTTTGTTCAGGCTAAAACAAATATAAGCATCCAGAACATAATGTCCATCTCTTCAGAGGAAAAACAGTAGTGATTGTCAAGTGGGTCAGCCAAGACACCAAGGCTAGAGACAGACATTACATATAAACCAGTTTAAGTGATCAGAAACAGGTTTAAACCTGTAACAAAACAGAAGCTCAGCGCACATAAACTAGTTTCAAAATGGCTGAAACTGGTTTAAGATAGACCAGGGTGAATATTGTATCAAACTAAACTGATTTAGGTTAAACCAGTGTATTGAACTTCTGTCCCAGATCCCCTCTGAACTAAAGTTAACTCTCAGTGTCCCAGCATCCCAGGATGCTTTGCACCTCCCTCACAATCCCCCCTCCCCCATGGCGGGGCAGGCTAGCCTTGGCTCATGCTATGTGCTCCAGCAGCTCAGCCCTGTGCCTGTCAGCTCTGTCAGGTGGGGGGGGGGAGGGGTAAGGAAGGAAGGCGAAGGAACAGAGTCCTCCGCCCCAACCCCAATCTCTGGTGTGCAAGGGCTTCCCCTGGGCCGTGCAAATCGCTGATATGGAGGTGAGAGAGGAGAAGCAGTTCCTCCAGCCCAGGGCCAAGTTCCTCACCCCAGGCAAGGTTCCCTGAGCCCTGCTGCTGGTGCAGAGGAGGAATTTCCCCCTCCCAACCCTCAGCATGATCTGGCATTGGCTTTACTGTGCTCCCACAGGTGTGTGTGGGGGGAGAATAGTCCCTCCAGCCCAGAGCCAAGCTAGCACCCCACTTCAGCCCAGGGACAAGCTGGTGCCTCAGCAGGGGGTTTTCCTGCCCTGCACAGGGTTCTCTGAGCCCTGCCACTGGTGCAGAGGGGGAATTCCACCCTACCAACTCTCTGTGTGGTCCAGTGACAGCTTAGCCTCACCCTCACAGGTCCCACCAGCCTGGGGCCAAGCTGGTGCCAGACTTCGTGGAGGGATGAGAGGCTGGGATTTCCCTTTCTGCATCCATGGCAGAGAATCCCCACTGAGGCATAAGGATCCCCCCACATGGGCTGGTGCCTTGCACCAGCTGGACCCTTTTACCAGCTGGGCCCTGGGCTGCAGGGACTGTTCCCCCACTACAGGGGGGAAAGCAAGGGGTTGGGGTACATGTGGTGGGCAGTCAATCATGACTGGGCCCCACTTGGCTGCATTTGGGTGCCCTGGACCTTTGGATGCTTTAATGCCCCCCCCACATCCCCACCTCTTGGCTTCTGGTTTGGGCCACTGTAGATATCTGGCTGCCTTTCTGGATTGAAAAGTGAATGTCAGTTCACTTCATTATTAGTTCAGTTTATGCAGTTTAGTGAAATCTGTGAAGATTGAATCTCTTCAGCCTCAAGTTTTCTGACCTCTGTACTTAACCCTAGAGTCTATTTTCCATTCTGCCACTGGCTGTGGAGTTTTGAACACTTCACTCACTTCCCTGTGGCTCAGTCTCTCCACTTGTGCAAAGTAAGATAAATATTTCTTTACCCAATTATAAATGATTGTTGTGGTGACCATAATGCCTGTAAGACTGTCACAAGTACAGTTGGGCCTCAATTTACACAGTGTTTTTTTGCACGGCTTCAGTTATGCACGGTCAATTAATTGTGACCCTTTATTTTTGTACACAGTCTGAATTCACTTTTACACAATGCAGCATGGTCACCAAGATGTGCAGATGTGTTTAGAATCAGCTGGTTGCTTTCCAACCCCCTCTGCCATGCTGCTCTCAGTGTAGCTGGTGTGTTGTGTTGTGGTGGAAGGGGAGGGGGGGCACAAAGTTATTCCCATAGGTGACATCCTGGGAGGGCATGGGGGGCATGTGCCCCCCCGATCTGCACAGAGCGGGATGGGCTGCAGCTGCAGGCTAGAACTGGGGCTGCATGGGGCTCTTCTCGGCGGGGGCTGAGCTGGGCTGGGCTGGGCTGGGCTTGGGGTGGGCAGCAGCGGTGCTGCAAGGGGTCTATGGGGGGCTACGGTAAAATTTGGGGTTGATGCAGACCTGCCCATAGCCCCCTCCCAGTACCGTTGCTGCCTGCCCCGAGCCCAGCCCCCACTGAGAAAAGTCCAACGCAGCCTGGGCTCCAGCCTGCAGCTGCAGCCTACCCGTCCCAATCCACCCCGTGCAGATCTGGGGGCTTGAAAAAAATTCAAATAACATGCACATGGAGGTCAATTCTGCTGTTTGGCACCCTGAGCAGAGCACTAGAGAGCTCATTCAGAACATGAAGAGAAAGACCCGGCTCTGCATTCTCTGTTTTTAATGATCATTTGCTAGAAGGAGCAAAATGCCAATTAACAAAATAAACTTCTTTTGGTGTATCAGCAATATAGTTAAGTTGGTAGAAGAACAGGTTTTGCTCAATTGGAGCAAACTGTAATCTAAACGCATTCTTATCAGTATAAAGATGTTTACACTGAGATGAGGCTGCAGAAACAAGCCATACCAATCCATGTAAGTACCTTTATACTGACACACCTGCAGGCTAACTAGGGCTTGCACCAAGTCAACTGAATCTCTAACATGGCCCTAGAGCAGTGCTTCTCCACTTGTTTAGACTCAGGATACCCGTCTTTAGACTGGAGGCACCGCTCCATAACTCTTGTGAATGGAGTGGCATCCTGTTGAAAAAGGAACAGATTTATTCCAGTGCTGTTTCTTGCCCTGCAGAGGGGCTGTGCAGTGGGGGTGAGGGGAACAGTCAGGCAGGGCAGAGCTTTAAGCCTGCTTATTTTCTGACTCCTCATGGCACCCTGAACGGGATTTTGGGGCACCCTGGTTGAGAAGAGCACACCAGTGACAGAAGGGTTTGTGCCTGGACATTCAGGGGGAATATTCAGAACAGAAGTGAACTGCAGTTCATGAGAAAGAAAATACACAGCCAACCCTCTCTGGGATATAAAGGTTCAAACCTCAGTGGAAAGTTGGATTTTAAAGGCTTCCTCTCGATCTCATGGAGAGGCCTGTCATGTATTGGTGTTTTTGTAAAATCTCAGCTGGTAGAAAGCAGATGCAGGGGGACCCAGGCTGCCTTTGGAGGAAAACCACAGGTCCTAACCCTGGGGCTTGCAGAGAAAAATGTGCAAAAGTGAAGGAAAGGTGCGTGAAGGGCTAGAGCCCAGCAGCCAGGTGAAATTAAATGATCCTGTATGCTCTGGGGCGTGTGTATATATGTGTGCGTGTGTGTTAACCCGCCCTATGTATTAAGGGGGTGAGGGGTGTATGTATATATGCGCAAATGTGTTAACACCTCATATATGTTAAGGGGGAGGGGGGTGTTAAAGGAAAGAGGGAAGAATGTGCAAACCCGGTGTAAGTCCCACGGCCGCTACGTGTTTTGGAGACGCATTTCCCCGCGGGCTGAGGCCGCCTCACCCGCCCAGCCTGGGCCGCAGCAAGTCGGCGCTGCGTGCGCGCGCGGAGCAACGGGAACGCAACCAGTCGCCGGCGTCAACGTCATCAGACGGCGCCTCCCGGAAGTGGCCGGGCAGCGGCATGGCGGGGCCGCTGGTGCGGCTCTACCGCTGGCGAAGACTTCGCTCGCCCTTCCCCCGTTCTCTCGCCGCCGCCAACGCGCCCCACAGCCCGCAGCTC